GGGAATTACTGTAGACCACCCCCAGCCCACGCAAGGAACAGCCTTGTTTTCATGCTTCTGATCACGTGCGGCCCTGACAACTGATCCTCTCTCTACCCTCGCACATAAACGTCCCAGCTTGGCCGGTGCTGAGAAAACAACAGGAACATTGTGGCGTTGCGCTACCGGTTTCTGCGTAGACTTCCTACCCGTAACTACCTCCGGATTTCTCACCCTCTTCAAGATGCACTCGGCCACACCTACTAGGAGATTGCCAGGATAGCCGCCCTCCAAAAGTTTGTTGGCCTGGCTACGAAAACTTGTCGTCATTTGGCGAGGACATGACCTGACGAGCGACCCCCAAAGGCCATTGAATATGACTCCCCTTTTAACTATTTTTGAATGACTCGAGTCGAACGCAAGCTCACCTTTCGTCAACCTAGGACAGTAGCACCAACACTCGTGTGTTTACTGTGCGCTGTTTGCCTTTTCGTCAGTATGAACCAACTAACCCACATCGCCACCCTTATTCAGTTCATTTTTTCTACGGTGGGTTCTTTTACGTGTTATAACAGCAACTACGACCATGCCATCACCTGCATTAACCTCATCGCCGTGTCGACCTGCCGTGCAGGATACCTCTCAATTTGCATTAAGACGGGCCAGGCTCCTCCTGAGGTCGAGGCCTTGTTCAGGTGTCTTCGTCCGTCTGATGGGCTTTCCAATCGCATACTCAATGATCAGTCAGTCAGTCGATCATATATCCAAGCCTCAGTTTTATTCAAAAAATGTCACCTCTCGCTTTGGAGGAATACTTTCCCCTTAGCACAAAGGTGCGCTGCAGCGAAGCAAGACACACAAAATCACAATGTCAACTCCTTGGTCGTCGCCTCACAGCAGTACACCAAGTTTCGGTGAGGACGCACTCAGCGAAACTAACTCACCCGCCAGAACAGAACACAAATATAAGAATTATTGAGGAACTTCAGTACTGCGACTGCTTGATGCGAAATCAGATCAAATACTGCGTTATTTGACGCGGCAATCTTAAGTTCTGAAAACTCGCACAATTTTATTGCAGCAATCGGGCCAATTTGCGAGGCCTAAGCTATTATATTTTCAGTATTACTAACTTGAAATCAAGTTTAAGCCCAATATGTTGGCGCGAATTCCTCAAATTTTGGTAAAATGCAGCAAGATGTAGCAGGTTACGCACTTTGGCGCAGTTTGGCCAAATGGCACAGCAATCGCATCACTGTTCACTACAAAATGGTGCTCATCGATGGAGGCCAACTGATCTCCTACAAACAACAGCAAAAGCGTCAGCACAACCAGGACTACATAGATGTGCGACCCTATGGTTCCATGAGATTTGTAGCCAGGAACCACGCTTGGGGATATAAAACTCGTACAACTTTTGCTCATGCAGCTTCTTCTCGTATTTGAAACAAGTGCTTCAATCGCTCAGTAAGCAGGCAGTATTCCCATATGTGCCCGTTCTTTCTTTTTCAACCACCGTCGGCTGGCATGTCCGAACAAGTTGCAGTGACAACGAACTCCTACTCATCGCTGATTCCGACTTTCCGTCAGATAGGGTGCTTTTGGGGTTTCCTTTTGATTAGGCTAAGGAGAAAATGTATATTAAACTTACTTTTCGACGCGTGCCGCATCAAAGTAGTGAACAACTTCAGGCTCCACCTCCCTCATGTGCTTCGCTATTGAGCGGTGTCAGTCAGTCGTCAAAGAGCGCACCTTGATGTCCTTGGTCTTCAGGAATTCGAGACAGCGAATAAGTCCCTGCTTCTCCATCTAGACACTGGCCCGTACTTCCTCGCATTGCATAAGGTATACAAATGCCCAAATTCTACTCTGAATCATGTCTTCTCAGACTAGGTACAGAGCCGTGTATTGGGAGTGTTTGGCCAATAGGCGGAGCAAAGGCCGCCGCCAGCGCCGAATATTCCCCCCGGGCTTTGAGTGTAAACTAAATTTGTGACACAGCGTCGACCAATCAGGAGACCACGACGTCACAATATTGCAAACGACATTCAAAGCGTGAAATAGAGGCGTTCAATCTCGGCCTCTCTGCTCCATCTCACAAATGTCGGCAGTGAAGACAAAAGTACAGGCGCGTGAACCTAGCTCAGCAAAACGCTTTTGTTTGTACGAGAACTCGTGCATAGGAGTCACTTTCCAAAGCCACGCGCTCGTGCCCATACCTTTCTCTGCACTGCTGATGTTGGCTTGTTAGAAGAGCGTCCTGTGACTGGCGGAAAGAAAACAGTGCAAAGGGTGGGGCGCGCGAGCGTCTCGAGACGCGTAGTCCCGCTCGGCTCGTGCGCTGGCTTTGGCAGTGCTTTCTTTCACCGTCTCAGCTGAGACGCTGTTTCTAGCAAGTTGGCCCTGGTTTGGAGCGCACGTTCGTTTATTCTACACTTGAATATTGCCGTGACGAACACCTCGCACGCACAAAGTTTTCAGTCACTGAGAGTCACACCTTTTAACTCTAGCGACGCTAAAACGGCTTGAATTAGTCGTGTCACAAATTTAGAGCTCACGACCACCGCTAGGGTCTGTTTCGCGGCCTGTGGTTGGCCCCGAGACGCTCGCCTATTCAAACCAATGTATGGCCAAACTCTCTCGATAAATGGCTCTGACTAGGTATACCTAGAAACTCAGTGGTTCCACAAGCTGCTACATTTTCTTGTCATGTTGTTTAAAATACGAGACTGGAGTGCAGAAAAGGAAAACCTTTAGTCGAAGTAACAGACCCTTGTCTGTTACTTCGGCTAAAAGTTTTTCCTTTTTTGTACCATAGTCTCGGGTGTTGCTACATGATTAGCTACCACCAGCTTGCCTGCACACTCGCAGTCTTTACATTTTCTTGGTTGTTCTAGCCTGCAAGTATAGCTTTTCTTACAATCTAGCAGTTATTTCAGTAGATCTGAACCAGACATAAATATAGAGCCATGAAGTACTCGTGGGCACTATTCACCAAGTCCGCAGGCTTTTGCATCACTTTATTCTATCACTTCTGAGACTGTGCAGTGGGTTAATTCATTGGCTGTTAGCTACATATGCTTAGTGCCTTATAATTCTGACAAGAGAAACAGGAGTTGTAGCTCCTGGCATAGACTATATTGTTTGAAATAACTCGTCATTTCGATCGTATTGCAAGCCATAAGTATTAACATTGACTTCGATGACATCACAATCATCATCCTGCCTTACCTCGCCAACCTGAACTTGTTCATAGTGCAAGATCTTGTTCATTTCAGGGGCATAAATGGAGTAAGTGAGGTACTTCGCGGGAAAGCCTGGGGAGTCGCATCTTCCCTCTCCGCTCAAGTCGACAGGACTGTCTTTTAGCTGCTCCAACAGGTCATCCTGGTGCTCTGTCCATACCTAATGATGAAGATAAGCACATCTGTTGCACAATTATGCTAAGGCAACCAGTACTAGAATTTTTCAATTTATTGCGATAGTAAATGGCATCGACAGTAAAGTGGAGATGCAGGCGAGTTGGTTCATAAATAATTAAGGTAAATACAGTGCACGGAAGGATAAAGACTGAAAGAGGATCACAGGACGAGTCCTGAACAAATGGCTGAATTTGTATTGATAAACGGCTTAAGCGAAAACCCAACAAAGAAGTAAATAAACTGCCTGAGGTGACGTCTGTGTTCACATGTGTAAAAAAATGTTTAAAGAATGATTTTATATAGACAAACTGATTTCATTGTACTCTGTGAACACTGATGTCATCTTCGACATTTTATTTTGCTTTTTGTAAACTTTTTGCACCAGACTTTTTTTTTCAATAAAAGCACAGCTGTTAGTTTGACGCTCGTCCGGTGTGCTTTTCTCAGTCTTTGTAATGTGCGCCGTATTTACCTTAAAGGGCAACTCCGTTTCATTTTGGTTTTGAAAAAAAAAACAATGCAGTCCTCTTCACTATCGCCTAGGAAGACCACATGTCAAATATTACGACACAGTTCTGTCTAAATGTTTTCTAAACGGTCCGGCAAACTTTGCCACTCGCCAAGTTGTCGAAATTGGCTGACTCGAGTGGGCGAAACCAACAGCGCAGTCATGGCTACGGCATGGGCGGAGCCAACATTGAGCTGAGCGTCATCACCATTGCCCCCCCTTTTGCTTGTTTTTACTTCTCCGGGTGAGCATAGCGGATGACGTCAACAACGTTTTCTTTCGGCGCTCAGTGGTGTCAACGTGATTGGCGTAACGCGCCAGCGCAGCGCGCTTCTTGGGAGCCGTCCGGCCGCCCCGTCGTGTTCTGACCGTTATCGCCGTCTCCCGTGTCACAACCGCCGTCGTCGCTTCACCGTTTGTGATTAATGCCTCTCGGAGTTTCGTCCCAACTACGGACACTAGGTGCGCAGACATATGCCGCAGTTGTGCTGACGTCGTCGAATGACGTGGACTCCAAAACGTGGCGAGGAGTGCGGTGCAGACGACACTTGCGCCTGGCACAAGTCCGCCCCAATCCCACCCGTCGTTGAGTAGGGGATCACGTGACATCTCGTACCACGTGATGGCCATGTTCTTGGCGTCCTGCGGCCAGAGTTGCCAGACGGAACCGAAGTTTTGGTTTCGATTTCCGCTCGTGTTTAAAATTAGATTTAAATGTATATCCCATTTTTCGTGAAGCAAACGACGTAGTGTCTTTTACTATGGCTTTTTAATGCGAAATCACTCATTATCCCGAAATCTTCGGAATTGAGCGGAGTTGCCCTTTAACAGTACTTTCGTTTAATTCTCATCTTCTCTACAGTGGGGATGAGAAATGTGGACTGATAGGTAAAGTGCATCCTCAGCGTCATGACTTGAACGTTCATTAGCTGAGGCACACGTTGTGACGACCCTAAAATCATTGTCTCGGTCACTAAATCGTCACGGGCTCTGTCGCTGGAGTGAGGCACCCAAAACTGTCGATAACGAAAAATTGCAACTTTATACAGGTAGGGAAATAATTACGGCATACAGTGGCTCACACTCTCGCAAAAAAAAAAAAAAAATAGGAATGTTTCGGCAGAGTTCTACGCCACTACGCGATAAGGAGTTCCAAGGGCGAACACCCACGCACATGGATGACTGCTTGGGTGGAGTCTCGATGGGAACTTGGACGTCTCGGAGGTTGTGCCGAAGTTTCGCCGAGTCGAGGAACGTCAAAACTCTCGTTGATGTCGCCCCGCAGCCTCACCGACTCCCTTCGTTCCGCTTCCCACTGGCCTGGCCTCGCCTCCCACCCTTCACCTCCGCCGCCCGAGAGAGCTGGTCGCTGGGCTTTCTTCCCTTTTTCTTCCCTTCTTCCGGCTTGTCCATTGCCCCCATCGGAGGGTAGACGCCTAGCCGTGTAGCCCATTTCACCCATCGGAGGGTAGATGCCCAGCAGTTTCGGAGGGGTGCATCCGCATTCCTCACCGGTCCCGAAGAGCCCCTCCTTGCTTCGCTCTTCTTCCCTCTCCCACACGCACACACGCCCACGCGCACATCGATGACTAGCTGTGTGGCGTACCCCACAGTTTCGGAGAGAATCCGCACTTTTCATCAGACGAAAACGTCACAACGTAATGTGGCCGTTGGGCTGGCTCCAGAAAAGAAGATTGCTGAGGACAGTAGCAAGCTCCCAGCAGCCTTGCCCTTGATGACTGGCTGACTGCTCCAGGTATGGTAGTGTGCGTCTTTGCAGATGGTCTCCACCTTCACCAGGGTTCCTTTCACAGTTAGGCTGGGCTCGCACTTCATGAGGCAAGTCCGGCAGATGGTGAAGAGTTCCAGCAGGCAGCCTTCGAAGACAACATAATTTTTCTCATCCTGCAGGGGCGACCCGGGTTCTATGGTGTGATCCCTGGAAAGAGTATAAATTAATATATGATTAAACGACACCCAAATGTGTTTGTTGTTTTATTTGTTTATCAACGATAAAAAACGCCAGAAAAAAGAACCAATTACAACAGATGACAATAGCCCCTACAAGGCCACGAACAGCTACAGAAAACAAAACTAAAATTTAGGTCAGTGTGTAGCTTCATACAGTGCCGCCTTGTTGTCGCATGCGGACAAAAAACGATAGTGTGTGAGCGTGGTCGAGCTGAAAACAGTGGTAGTTCCCAAAACCTGGTTGGATGCGAAAATGCATATAGGGTATTCCGGTTTGTAAGTAAATCGAGTAGGGAACATCAGTTTCTTTTTCACAAAAACAGGCATAAAGTGTAGGGTTGTCTCGAATACAGGGATACTAATCTTTGCCTCTTCAACATTTTCTTGAACTGTGCCTGTCAAAAAAAGAAAAAAGGAAGGCACCGATACCTTGAACGCATGTCGTCTTCTGACTGCTCGCTGAGTGGTGTCCAGTCTTTATCCATTTCTTGGCCGGGATCAAGGTCTTCTTCAAGGAGGGAAGCGACGAGCAGCGTCACAACTGGAGCTGGTGAAAGCAGTGAGCGGGTAGGAAGCACGGGGAAAGAAGGCACCCAGCTCTCCGTTTGCACCGCACAGGTCATCGCTGCATAGACCTGCTGGAAGTTGACCTGCCTGCCTGACCACAAGCAAACAATAAACAATTATTACATCTCTGTTCAGTGCCTCTAGGCAAAGAGAATGAGCAATGGCATAAGGAAAGTTTTAGTAACTATACATGGTATCGCTGGATCCCCCGAGGATTGGGCTTTCGCATATGGCAGTGACTACCAACAAATACATTCCAGAAACAAACCATATAAGCTAATTGGATACAGGTATTTTATGGATGCCACTATATGGCTAGAGAGCCAATGCCGATGTTTCCTGGAATGCTTATCAACTGCCGTTCGACCAAGCGAAGAACCTTGATTGTGTGTAGCTGCTTGTTGAGTCGCCGTTGAAGCTTGCACAGCTGCATCCTTCATACCTGCCTTGCCTCGTATATCAACTCGCAGAGCTACGTCGTGTGTTTCTGGCCTGTCTTGTAAGCAGCGATATGTAGTGTCCGCTCCCGCTTTCCAGGCAACGCAGCAGCAGCACTCTTGAAGAGGGGCGCTCTCCATAGGAGCTTCATTCGCCGATACCAAATCATCGCCCTGGTAAAAGAAAATTTACCACAATTTTGCAACCTGGAAGTTGACATATCTAGTAGGTTACGTCAAATCTATAAATTTAAATCATCAGTAAAAGCAAAATCAGTGAGTCCCTACATGTCCCTAGAGGGAAGTGACATATCACATATTCATCTAAGTCCAAAAAGCAGCTTGTTTATTCCTTGCTGCCTTAAGTTCAATTATTCTATGTTTATAATAGAGATGCTTTTGTGTGGCCCCAGATTTCGTAAAGTAAAAAACAAAAACAAAAAACTAGTAATTAACAGATTAAATTTCATTCCTCGTCTACAGAAGGGACTTGTCGTCCACTCGAGGGAGACCAACAGCCGCGTTGTCTGAACATTCCCCAAAACAATTATTTGCGGAAGCACCTCATCTTTAAAAGTCTCGAGCTCGTGCTAGTAGTACCTCGAGAGCAACTTTCTGCGGAAGTTTAGGGGAAGGAGAGAGCATTTCGTTGCTTAGAAATGATCGACACTCAACGTACGCTTACGCCTTACGTACGCTTACGCGTACGCTTACGCCTTACGCCGTAGCCTGGAGTCGTAGCTTTGATTGCATGGTTGCGGGTCAGCAATGGCTCGACAGTAATTTAGCACATGCAGATCGTACTGTTCTTTAACAGTGGAGTAGTCTACACTTTACGCACTCGTTATTCTCCACTTGGTGAAATTTGTTTGATGCTCGCGACGTGACTCACCGTGGTCCTTTGACGCTTGGCGACTCTCTCCTGTTCGAGGGCAACGGTAGCCGAAGCGTCGGAATCGTATCGGGTTTCAGGCGGAGGGCTTTTGGAACCTGCCCACATTCGCGGAGAACACTGTGGATTTGGCTGTAATCCCGCTCGGTGTCAAAATGTTCCGAGCATACACGAATGGCTTTAGACCCGGGTTCCCTCAAACCGATGAGCCTGCACCCAGTGCTTCGACGTGGTTCATCGAGTGACAAGCGGTGGAACTGCAACTGTTTCTTTTTAACCACCGGACTGCAGAAACTGTAGTTCGGGCACTTCGGTACACTGAAGGCTTTCGGCATAGCCACCCAGCGACCGATCACAAACAACGTAATCACTGCTCGAGCAGCCAGAAAACGAAAGTGCTCCACGAAGAAAGCGCGACCGGCAGCTAACCCGTTAAGCAGACGAAGCTCGGGGATTGACTGCGCAAGCGCAATAGGGTCTTTCTTTTTCTTCATTTACCACATGATAGATGGCGCTTGGCTCCGAGAATTATCAAATTCGACAATTTTCGTCACATCTCTAATTATGCTACAAAATGTGGATCTGAATATTATTTAACAAAACTTTTAGGAAAGATTCGCCGGCTATTTATTGTTTATGATCGCGGTGCTGGTGAGGTAGGCTCTTACCCAATAGGCGACGTGGATTTGGCTGACGTGCTGCGGTTCCGCGTATGCATCGAAGTGAAAAGGCAGAGAGCTTTCGAAGGAAAGAAGGTTCATAAGAGTCCGGTTTACTTTTGAAAGTTCTAGAATTTTTCTTGACGCCCTATTTTTATGTTTTTGTGTTTCTTTTCACACCTTTTACGGCGTGCGGTCGATGAAATTCGATCTGAAAATCGTTTCACGGTCCCCTTAAGATGCCGTTTGGCGCGGTTTCAAAGCTAATGAAGTCGGCTCGCTCCATGAGACAGTTAATGCTTCCGCATTAAAAAAGCGGTTACGCGGCGCGAACACGGATGGCGCCACTGTCAAGGTGTACATCAGCACTTGTATGGTGGGATATGCTCATTATTAAAGAAAGGAAAGTTAACTTTAATAAATCAAACTTTATTTCGCACTAGGTGTAATTGCATATTGTTTCATTGAATATCAATTATGTATTTACAAAAAAAAAATATTATATAGATTTTTTTTAAAGTTTGTGTCAACACCCCGCTGCATGAATATTTTTCTTCGTCTTATGCGCTTCTAAATAAAAAACACTGCCTGTGCGGCTGCGCTCTGCGTGCTCTAAAACCGATGGACTGTTGCAATGGCGTCCGTACGTCTGTACCGTGGATTTGCTCGCCCTCGATGCCTCGAAGCGTCAATCACCGCTTTGCGCGAGCCTCGAACGTTTCGGGCAAGTGTAACGTTTTAGTGTCTTTAAACTACCTGAATTTTGCTGTTACGCAAAATAGTGCGCAAGCAGCATCAGGGACAAAAAAATGCCAGTTCCTTGGGATCCCAACTGACATTCAGTGAGTTTGGAAGTTTGCACGACGACTGAAACTTCTGCTAAGCTGTTGTTCCAGCCACAAATTCCACCATTTAAGGGTTATGTACACTTTTCTGAGTTATTGAATTGATAGCTTCATATTTTTAAGTCCACAAAATACCACCGTAGTTTTATCGCATTGCAGATATTCCGGTGAACGTCTTTAGGACGTGCTTCATTGGATGAAGACCGTCCTGCGAATATTTTATGATTCGCTGGCGTAGTTACCAACTATTATATATTTAATAAATATATGGAAAGCTGGGTAGGCAAGCGGTTTCATTTAAAAAGACATTTTAAACAAGCATATATTACGTTATTTGTTTCTTGCAAATAAAATAGCAACACATATATTATCTGTTCCTTTGTGTTGTGGGATTCTAGTTTACCCCAAAGTCCTCAGTGAGGCAAATACTCACTCCGTAACTCGTCGGTTGAAAAAGGTGGGTTTCGACTTACCTTGCTGATCGCTGTGAGGCAACACCCACTTCGTAGTCCGCTTCTATGGCGGCTACGGACGGGTCCGTCCGTTGACTGCCGTTAGGCTGCGGTGGACGGGAGACCACACCAAACACAGGGATACCGTAGAAACGTGTTGATTGGCCTTACGCCACACGCTTGCGCCCGTAGGCAGAACAAATGAGAAATAAGGTTGGTGCTGCCTTAATTGACAGGATCACCAGGACAGAAGTCCGCGCTGCCGTAACTGGCAGGATCACGGAGAGTGGGAGCAGTAAAACAACGATGAATGCTCCGCGTAGCCCCCGCCTAACCAATAGCCCCGGCCACACTCTTAGAAAAAAGGGTCAGTATAGTCCTCCCTAAATGGAGGAACGCTCTTGACACATATGTTCCTTCAGAAAGGGAGAAACTTTCGTCCCTAAAGCAGGGGAGCAAAAGTTCCTCCGTCGCCTGCATCTCAATATGGCGGCTATGAATCTAGCAAATCGAGCTCAATAAGGCTTGGCGAGCACACTAGGTTTATTGTACGGAGCGAGAGGAGCAGCAAATAAAAACGTAACACGAGCTTTCCGCGAACTGTATTTATTTCCGAAGCCGGCTTCCCCCTGCAGGTAAAGAAACTTACATTTCGAAAGCATGCAGTCATTCAGTCTTCTCATCGTCAGCACTGCGATGTTAAACGGAGACAACCGGTACCCAGTTCGCGCACTTTATGTCTTACCTTTGCTATTCCTCGAGCCACAATTCCTTCGTCAACCGTTGCGTCAACCGCACATTACGGAGGAGTGGTAAACCATTCGCCCGGCAAAACCAAAAGCCGCTCTCAAAAAAAGCAAATCCGAAACAGCCTCTTGGCTCATTTAAGCACGGTAACACAAAATTATGGCTTAGCCGCGTAGAGTAAAAGGGGGTTAAATCGCTTGCCACCAGATGGCAGGGTCGAGCAGAGTAATCGCAAGTAGCTAGGCTAGGTGGCGCTAGGTACCGCCCAATCCATGTTCTACAAAAATATATATTTTTTTTCTCACGCCACCATCGCGCTTCGGGATCCTCTATCATACACACATGTAGACACATTACGCATACTACAAGTACAGCTGCACATACATTGAGCGCATGCATATGCATCGCACATACAAACATCAATAGAATAGCACACTAACCCGATTTTTTTTTCTTTATTGAACACTAACCCGATCACTACTCCCGAGCTCTGCGTTTCCGTCTTTTATACTACGGGTCGTTTTGAACGTACGGAATTTCTCGGTGACTCCCTAAGCAACAAAAAATATTCCCAGCATGCTGATTTTTTCCCAGCAATGTCATACATCTGAGAGTATTTATAATGACTCAGGGGATGAATCTCTTATTAAAAAGAAAACGCTCGATCATGCCGTAATTATTTGAAAGTCAATAAATCGAGCCGCTCCAATGCGGTTCCAAGCCATGAGTTTGTTTCCCCGCACGGCACTTCGCGGCCAGTATTCCTATTGTAGTGTTTGTTTTTGTATTTGTACTGTTCGCGCACGGCTGCAATTGCCGCCTTGAATTATTCTATGTAGAGCGGATATTCAGTCAGCAGGAAGTGCTGCTTCACGGGCAGAGAAATCGCTTTTCGATCAACTTGAATGCAGTCAAAGCCACGACTTGCGGCATGTGTGAAGTGTACGGAGCTACGCCGTGGCGAGCTCGAACACTTCTTGCGCTCATCCCAGCGCGCCACTTGGAGGGCAGTTTCTCCAGGATCCGTAGTATATTTAAACAGCAAAATAAAGGATGAAAAGACGATGAGAGTGCAGGCGAGCTGGTGGTAGCTAATCATGTCGTATTACACCTGAGACTGCGGTGGAAGAAATCGGAAGAACTTTCAGTAGAAGGAACAGACACAGAGAACGTCTCAAACTCAGCTAACTGGTTTATTTCTCAAACAGCCTTTAAGTACCCTCGGAACTTTTTCCCAACCACACTCTACACATAAACTCCTTTGTTGCAGACATTTCGAACCGGATGGATACAAAAGATACAAAACAACCCACACAAGAGACGAGGACTTAACAAAGGGACACTGCGGATCATCGCAGTGACCTTTGTAGAAGTAGTAGTAAGACCTTTGTAGGAGTAGAAGAAGAAGCGCCGGGGCGAGGAGCTTATGCTCTTTTGCTCCTGTGCTTATGTCCAAATTCGAGCCGAATTGGGACATGAGGTTGGCTAGAACAACCTTCTGAAGGCTAACGACGTCCCTTCCAGCAGGTCAGAACCCACAGTGAGTCCCGAACTCGGTATTTCGCATGTGTTTTCGACCGCCGGCGAATGTGCTTCGGAGCTAGGGCTAACTCTGGAGCTGGCCAAAGGCGAAGGGCTCCGAAGAGAGCGACATGGCTGAGTTCTCGCAACCGTCTCAGCCCCAGTCTTCGAGCAATCTCGAGATGAACATCGTTGGGCAAGCTCCTGCGACCGGCCAAATCGAAGCGATTGCTACGTTTACAGAAGCTGAAGCTTTCATCCAGTCACCGCAACGAATTCATGGAAAGCGAAAAACGAAAAGGGACCCACTGATATTTTTGGATCCCGCAATTAAACGGACCCGCCACCCTAGTAGTTCTAGTACCGGTACGAACTCCTCCGAAGTGAAGGAAGATGACAACCGCGGAACTACTGACACAAATTCTGATCGAACGGACGCCGACGCAGACTCGGACACCGGCTTCTCAATGGCTGAGATGTCGTCCACAGAGACTCTCACCGAGGGTCCTCTTTCGACCTTCAGAGAATCAGTACATGCAGAAGACTCTCCAGGCTCCGAATGGAACAAGGTGACATATGTCAAAAGAAAGACGCATAGACAAGGCGAGCACAGTCTATCAGTGGGAGAACCTACCTTATCATACACAAGACTCAGGGGTACCGATGAGGAAGACAGGCCGTGCCACGTAATTGTTTTTAGGTCGAAGAAACCTTATGATCTTACGAGCATTCTGAAGGGCTTACTGCAGAGAACTTTAAGCCAAATAACCGGCTTAATCAATGAACTTACGTTCAGGCTGAATAGGGACACCAACACAATCTCAGTCATGGTACATTCGAGAGACGCGCAGAAAAGCTTTTGGCACTGCACTCTCTCACCGCGCAAGATAGAGCCGTGTCGGTGGTGACCCACGAGATTCCCCCAAAGGACACAGTACGCGGCGTGGCGCACGGCATTGACTGCGGAGAGACTTCGGACACTTTAGCGAGTACTCTACGGTCCAAAACACACGAGGTCCTATACGCGAGACTTCTCGGCAAAAACGGGCTGGCCATGGTGACATTCCGCGGAACCAATGTGTCAAACTCTATCGTATACAGAGGGTGCATCATAAGAGTCACGCCGTATGTGTCTCACACAGTGCAGTGCTGGAGATGCCAAGGCCTAGGACACAAGCAACACGTGTGCACCCGCGCGCTGAGATGCCCCGATTGCGGGTGGCTGAAGCAGGAACACCACGTGTGCGGACGCAAGTATTGTATCAACTGCCGATCCCACGGCAACCACCTTGCGACCGATCCCAAGTGCCCCACCAAGCTGCGGGTGGACCGCAGACTTCAGGACAGAGGCCACGCAAACTGTAACCAGGCAACTCGAGACAACAAAAGATGCCGTAACCCCTCGGGAGGCCGCGGCAGGAGCAGGCCTCGTAGCCCGCCCGATGTCACGCTAAAAGACTACCCTCAAGTAATAGCCACACACAACAGATATGCCGCGCTCGGCACGTTTTCTGACGGGGAAGAAGAGAACGAGATACCGAAAAACAAACCGAGAGTTACAAGTAAGAGCAGAACAAGGCGTGCTGTATCAGTGTCACGCCAACTCTTGAACAACGCGAATCGGCGAGACGAGGCCGCGGAATTCCAAAAGCGCCAACCTAAGACGCCGAGACCGCAGCAACAAGCTGGAACGTATGCCCAAGTGGTGCACAAGATGCTCAAGACAGGTTATTACGCGGACAGTGACACTGAGGCGCAGGCCTGAATGGAAGAACTGCGGTCTATCGGCGAAGCGCGCAAGAAAAGTGTGAAACGAATTCAAGATCTTGAAGTTCACGCAAAGAAAATGGCAAATAAGCACGCTGAAATTCGGATGAACGAAATAGAAGCAGAGAAGCGCCGAGCACTCAGGGAAACCGAACTTCAAAAAAAAAGCAGTCAGGAAATCGAGCAATGGGCATCACAGCAACAACAACCCACGACTCACGATGTGCAGCAATCATGCAAAGCAGTATTGGTTTCCCAATCCACTCGACCTGAACAACCAGCCACCTCCGTCGTCACTACGACGGTAACACAGGAATATCTTCATGCCGCACTCGCCCAAATGCAACAGCAATTGCAGCAGCAACAGCACCAAATGCAGCAACAGATGCAGCAACAAATGCAGCAACAAATGCAGCAACAGCTACAACAATTCCAACAGATGCTGGCGGCGACCCATACGGAGCACTCTGCAATGTTCATGGTCGTCCCCCAAACTTCGCCGATCCAGGTCCAAAACCGCAATGGCTTCCAGACTCCTGAATAACGCTCCATTTCGGATCCTGCAGTGGAACTGTCGTGGGCTAGCAACAAGAAAGGCCGAACTCCTTACGCGCCTGTCAGATCCACAATATACCTGTGACGTTCTTTTACTGCAGGAATCTCGCGCCAAAAACATTACATTGTCAGGTTTTGAAGGGCACCACAACCTTACGATAGAATATGCGGCGCGTTCACGCCAAACCCCCCTTACTAGTGCTCAGGCCAGTATATATGTCCGTCATAGTGTTTCGCATATCAAGATAGACACGATGAACTGGTGTACCACCACGCAGGAGGTAGTCGCGGTCCGCGTCGCTCTCGACGGAACCACTAAACGCCTCTTGATTGTCTTCACATACGTTCGGCCCCTCCACGCAGCTCACAATTTTTTATGGATCAAAGCGCTCCGCGATAAGTGCCCCTCTGACTATGTAATATTTGGAGGAGACTTCAACGCTCGCTTTGAATCGTGGAGTTCTGCGCCACATACCCCGCGCGCACAGGACTTGTGCACTGTCCTCGAACTAACCGACCTAACGATCGTCAATAATTTAGATTGCGCGACGCGTTATGGCACATTGGCACGCCAATCGGACAGTGTAATAGATCTCACTTTCGCACCCGCGTCGACCGCCCGCCTTCTCGCGTGGACTGTGCTTCCCGACGCGTGGGGAAGTGACCATTTCCCCATAGTGCTCGAACTATATGCAGGCAAACGCAAAATGATCAAGACTTACGAAGACAATAAAATGGGATCAATTCCGTGCCTTTATAGAGGAGCACATAGAAGATATCAACCCTGCTAACATTTCGGCCTTTCTCACGACGGCTACAAAGTCTGCGACTGACTTCCGCCCGGTGGATAGAAATACACCCATCCCGGACACGCATCTACTATCGCTGTGGGATCGTCGCACGGCTGCGCTTACCAAGTACCGGAGGCACAAGCGGCGCTGCTATCTGAAACGTGTGACCCTCCTAACCAAGGAAGCTAGCACATACGCCCAGACCCTCAGCCTCACACGCTGGATTGCCCATTGCGAGTCCTTCGACAGGACTACGAAGCTCGGCGAGGTGTGGCGAACTTTTAATGCTATGTATGACAAGCGCAAGTCGTGTAGCCCTGTCCCTCTTCTGACCCTGCCTTCGACAGACACCGAGGAAGATATCCTGGATCAGCTTGGCTCAGCATTCTTCCCGCAACCTGACGATCTCCCATCCCCCGATGTATATAGACCCGTGTATGCAGACACTGTGGACACGGAAAACCCTGGGAACCAGCCATTCACTGAGTGGGAACTTGATGCGGCAATCGCCCAGTGCAAACTTAAGAGTGCACCCGGGCCCGATGGAGTTACAGCCCCGATGCTTCGTAATGCACCTCTTGCCGCAAGGGAAGGTATCCGTCACTGGTTCAACTCCATCTGGCACACGGGTCACCTCCCTGAGGATTGGAAGATGTCATGGGTTACCCCCATCCCCAAACCCGGCAAAAAACCGACCGACCCGAAAAACCTGTGTCCAATTTCCCTTACATCTATAATGGGAAAGTTGATGGAACGAATGGTACTTGCACGCATTCAGTGGCAAGCAGAAAACCTCAGGATCTTTCATCCCACACAAACGGGGTTCCGTAAGAATTTGAGTACCCACGATAGTCTGGCTATGATTTACCATGATGTCGCTGACTGGCACCCCAACAGCCAGCAGCTCCGGGTCGTGGTCACGGTGGACATCAAGAAGGCCTTTGACACGGTCCCACACGAAGCCGTTGTCTCCTCGATGTACGAGCAGGGCCTAGATGGGAAACAACTAGATTTTGTCCGGTCATTTTTGGCCAGCCGCCGATACCTCGTCAAGTCGGGCTACGGCCCTGACGCGCGGAGCAGTACTACCAAGGAGAACAACATTGGAGTCCCTCAAGGAGCAGTATTGTCACCGACGTTATTTAACATTGTCATGGCGCCGCTTCTCTGGGCCCTCCATCGTATACCGAACCTACGAGCTACTGCCTACGCCGACGATATTACCATCTGGACATGCCAAGGCTCGGTTTTAACGCAAAAGACAGCGTTGCAAGCGGGTCTATATGCCATCCACTCCCATCTTCGCTGCGTCGGCATGTTTCCGTCCTCGGAAAAAACAAAGTACATGCTGTACGGCCGTGGGCATTCTACCCTGGACTTGGGCCTCACTTTTGACGGTAGTCACATAAGCAAAGAGCCTTTCATAAAGATCCTTGGAGTTAATTTTGGGTACAGCTCTCAAGTAGCAGCCGAATGGGTTAAATCTATTTCGCGGCAATGGAGACACGGCCTACACCTCGTCCGTCGCATCTCCCATCGTCTGGGCGGCGCGGGAGAACGTATCGCCAAGATTCTAGTCACGTCCGTCCTTGCTTCGAAGGTGGCCTATGCAGCGCGTTTCTACTCCCTCAAACGAGTCCATTTCGACAAGATTGCAACGCTGTATAACGAGGCCCGCCGAACCATCCTCGGACTCCCTCGACACACACGAACGTCAGAGCTTCGCAAGTGCCTGCACCTCGTCGACCTTCGAGAGACACTAGAGCAGCAACTCGACATCCACATGGCCCGACTTGAGCATACGCTCCAGGGGAGGGCAGTTGCTCGTTTCATTGGAGTAGCT